AGGCGTGCCAACTATTCTGCAGATCCCGGGCTTCACAACAGGAAAGAAAGCCTTTCCAATAAACGGTTCTGTTGACTGTGCGTTAGGCTGAGCCCCAGAAGCCGTGCGGCTGGCAATATCTATCGACCGCTGGCGGCCTGCACCTCTATGACGCTCGCGCAGCCCTCTGGATATCTGCTCTGTGCGACACACGGCGCATCTCGCAGCCTGTCGGGGCTCCGAGGTGCGTTTTATGACGCCCTGGTCCGTACCTTCATGGTCGGCATGTTTAGCGCCAGTCCCTGCGGCTCAATTTGTGCGGACGCTACGGTCGAATGCCGCCAGGATGAGCGCGGGATGGGTATTCGGGCATTCAGCGTACACAGCGGAGCGTCTGTGACCTCCAGACCCCTGTGAAGGTGCCACCGCAGAAAGGAGCTCGCATACCGTCTCGTAGCGCTGTGGTCTAAACTGTGGAACTGCAGCTGCCGCACAGACTCTATCCTTGACCACCGGTGAGCGAGGCGGGAGCCGGCCGGCGTGTTGCGCTGGGCGTTCCCGCGGCGTGAGGACGAGGAATGCCGGCCCGCCCCCCGCGCGCCGAATTTGCCTCGGCTGGCAGCCGGCGCGCGCAGCTCGGCGCGGCCACCGCGGTGTAATTGCCGGCCACACTGGACACTAATGACCACTGGCGGCGACGGCAGCGGCGCGCGAATTAGCAGCGCCGCCGCCGCCGGGAGAGCTCTGCAAAAACGCGAGACGACCCGGGATGTGGTGGCGCGAGACCATGGTTTATCCCGGACGGAGGAAGCGCTGAGGGCGGGCGGGAGAACACAGCTGGGGAACGGGATGTGGTAATACAGACGGCAATCACTAGCATGTGACGAAATCAATTTCACGTGATTCAACTTCTGGTGGTTGAGATAAGATAAGACACCCAACTACGGCGAGGAAGATAGTTATGCTAGCGAAGTAAATAAGTCTGGAAATTGGGACAAAAATAGCATAATTGCTGTTTTCAATGCCTCAGTCCGCGCTGTTAAAGGCGAGCATAAATTATGACTGCACAAATGACGTTGATGATAATTATAATTGTGTTTGTTGGCAGGACCGGAGCGCGGAATGTTGGCTCAATTACAGACCGTAGAAACGCAACAACAGCACTAATGCGAGCAGCGCTGCTCGCGAGAGAAAAATTCAACGTCATTAATTAGGAGAAACTGCACGTCCGACACAGAGAAGCCGTGACAAAGATAAAACGTTCATAACAGTGACCGATAAGAAAATCAGATGACGCACGAGAAAGAGATGAAAGAGATAAGTGAAAATACCATAGACGGCATGCGGTACGCGGAGACGAGACGGGAGAGACCAATAAAAGGGGGGACATTCCTCCCCAGACTGGACGAGGCCCCCGGCCAAACGCGGCGGTATTGCCGCAAAGCTCGATTTCGGCGGAGATAGTCAATAAAAGTTTACGGTCTAGCGTTACGAGGTCATAGTCACCGGCCACCTTCGGGCTGGGCAGGAGATGGCCAACCGGCCACGGGTCGTAAAGGAGCAGGGCGATGATTTCCCGCGTCCGGTTGAAGCTGTGAACGGTGCGGACTGGCGCCCCCGGGTCAGGTGGACGCAGTCGCACCACTGCACACTGGTCGGAAACGCTCCAGCGAGAGGCCAGCGGCCTTTCCGCAAAAGTTTTTTGCTTGTTATTCCACAACTAGTGAAGCAAACTTTATAAAACTTTGCATACCTTCTCTCTCATAGGTAAGCTATCATTTGGATGTCAAACACTAAATATATGACGTGAATCTGTTAAGTTATGACGTCATAATTGAGTATATTACAGGATCTAGCACCACTTTAAGTCAACAAGGGAAATTGGGAGCTGCTATTCGGGCACCGGGAATGGTTTCATGCACTCCTTGCAAGGTCCAGTGCTTCACTTTAGCATTGTTGACTTTGCGTGACGTCATTTATGACGTCACTAAGGCCATATAAGTTTTTCGTCAATAACTCCTGATCAGATGGAGCTAGAGAGCCGGGAAAGCCACCATTGGACTCAGGAAGACCTGCCGAATCGAATGATATGCGATATGACCTCCTTCAACCATTTTCGTGACCTGAGGGGCTCCGACCTGACCTTGACCCGACCTTGACCTTGACCTGACCCGACCGACCTTGACCTGAACACCATAAGTTGACTTCACCCGAGCACCAAGTATAGTATTCAACGCGCCTGAGCCAGACAAACACAATGATGTCAAAATCGTGGCAGTGCGACCATTTTTGGCAAAGTAATTAACCTAAAACCGAGCCCGTGCCTTGTGGCACTTACCTGACCTAAGAGGTCACTGGCTGACCTAAGACCTTAAAATCGGGTAGTACCTAATTGTTGCGTCTTATAACGGCACACAAGCTTGTTTTTTCCGCGAGGCTCTAGCTCAATTAGAGGCGAAACGGCGAGGGAGTTGTACCAACCCTCCCCGGTCAATATAGAAAACCAATCGGTCCGGCCAGGGTTAAATACCGGAATTGTGATCTAATGTAAAAAGACGGCCCAAGGTAACCCGACGTCAGTGACAGGTGTCCTATATTTGCAGCGTCTTATATTCACGAAGGTTTCAATTTCCACTTTCTTCAGCCGAGTGATGGTTGTCAATAGCAAGGCTCTCTAAATGCAAGCCGTAATCGCCACGCAATATGTGGAAGGCTTTTGATATAAATACATACATAGATGCATACATAAAACGCGCTTTTCACAAAATTCATCAACTCAAGCGCATCTGCTTTTAATGACCAGTCAACTACGCATGGATGCGTGCAGGCCACACAGGTCAGCGTAAGCCGGGCGCGGCGGCCGAGCCGAAACTGGGGCGGGGCGGGCGGTAGTTGGGTAGGAAGAGCGGCTCCTGCAAATTTTGCGCAAATATGCGCAGTTAGCTTTTATGTTGCCCTGGTGTAAATTTAAATCCTGCTTCATCTCACAAAAAATCAGAGTGGAACTAGATGGGACTACCTGTTGTTTCCTTACCTAAACTTTGCAGTTATATTCCAGAATCACTGTAGGAGAGCCTTCATAAAAAAGCTACAGTACATCTTAGTTAGGGAAAAAGTTTACCAAAAATTTTGCACTGGCCAGTCGGCAGCTTCATAACGAACATTTTGATGCATAATATGTGGGATTTCAATTTGGTGTCTATCAGCAATAAGACTCTGAATATCCGGCTCAAGAAACCTCTTGCTTCGCGTCAGTTTTCGAATTCTGGGATACCCCATCTTCGGGGGCTGATTACAGTTATTTTTGGTCACCCGGATTAGTTTTTTGGCCTAAGTATAATAATTTGATCAATTTCAAATCGATCTATATAAAAAATGATCCGAAACTCCGGAATCGCCCGTGGCCTCTCGTGAGGGCGTTTCCGACCAGTGTGCACTGACTCGCTCTGTGGGTCCCACGGGAGGTTGTTAAATGTGTCAATCTCACTACAGCCCACCATGGATACAGCATTTCAGTTGCCTCCATGTGATAAATGGAGACGGACTGAGCGCTTCCAGGTTAGACGAATTGTCCTAATGGCGGCTTAAATAAACTGCTCACCTCAAGACGCTATAAGCCGGTCATCTTTTCAGGAGTTGAAAGGTTATCATAATCTCGCAGAGAGGATGAAATTCATATAGCAATCATTTCACTTGAGAAAATTACAGTTGCGTCTGCAGTTCATAATTAATATATTCTTTGTAATTCCATGGCAGATCTGCACTATTCCAGCAGCTTTGAATGAAAGTTTCAAGCAATCCGCTAACTGTAATGAGGGGTCGATGAATCAGCCTCCCAGCCCCCAGCCTCCCAGCCTCAATTATTTCGCAGCCGACATTAGCCATAGCTCACCCACAGGACACCACCATCGATTTAAATATACCGGTGAGAACTGTCTAAAGGGTCCATACGACTTTTACCAAACCAATGCACCAATCCCCCTCCCCGTCAGACTGACCTGGGCGGGCAGGTCCAGGCCAGCGACAGGCCGAAGCCCTTCTGTCGCCGCTGAATGGTGATTCTGTGGTACGGTCCCGCCGCCACCGTCCGCCGCTGGTCCTCACAGACAGGCACCGACCGGCGCGCCTCCTGAACCGACTGGCAGGACACGCTGCGACCCGGGGCGGACCGGTGAGCGTCCCCTGCCCGGGGCAGGTGTGTGGCCAGCGCCGGGGCCGAGGAGCGCTGGCTGGGGTGGCCACCGGTGACCCGGTCTCCCGGTGGGGCAGAGCTCGACGGAGGCGGTGCCGGCGCCAGTCTCCTTCCCGACCTCTGCTGGCCGGCTGACCCGCCCTCCCGGCCGCCCCAGCCGTAGTGAGCCGGCTGCTGGTGGTGGGTGGTCCGTTGGTCCCCCTGGTCTATGGACGGACCGGAGAGAGACCAGGGCTGCTCGCCTGCCTCCCTCGCCGTCTCTGGCTGTACCGCTGACCCGCAGCCGGCCTCCGGCGGCTGACCTGACCTGGCCTCGGGGCGCCGGTAGGTGACGGCTGACTCGACCGCCCTGGGCTCCTCCCAGGTCCGCTCCTGCCAGTCGCCACTGTCCGCTGTAACGAGAAAATTAACGTCCTTGGATCACCACAGATAACGGCGCGGATTTGCGGCAGGAGGTCTACGCTGGTCACTGGACCGTGCAAGGATCATCGTAACGACAATCACTGGATCTGGAGATGTGACCTTGGTGGCCGACGGAGCCAAAGTCTACATCACTGTCAGAAATTTGAGAGCGAAGTCATACTGAGATGTATGCTTGATCTGGCAACAATGGGCCGTCATAACTCCGCATGACAGTTGAAAATAACCGTCACATCAAACCCCACACTACCCTGTAAATCAACGAAAGTAAAAGGCCAGAATAGCATGGATCAATGCTCACTTTGAAAATAAAACTTAACTGTTACCAGAATTTAAATAACTTCCCGTGTGATTAATCCAATTTATGGCCAACCGTTCAAACTTCACAGAATAATTCTCTGAAGCGTTTGTCGAGTGTATTGTTTGCCACATCGTTAGGAGTTGAAAGAAGAGCCCTTTCCAAGGCGTTCGCCGTCGAGTGGTCGGAGCGGCGGATACACAGCGACCAAACGGAGAAATGGTGAACGCGGGCGACTTTAGGCAACTTTAGGCGACTACCTACCGGCGACCGCGGCCGGTTTGGTTCTCGCTGCCGCGGGGGTCCGGACGGCGAAGTGCCGGCTGCGACCGATGGACTCGGCCAGCAGCCGGAACCAGCCGCTGATCTCGGTCGTCATGATGTTGGACACGCCGAACGACATACAGCCGAGCAGCTCGCTGCGCCTGGGGGGGGGGGGGGTCAGAGGCGGCAGTCGGTCAGTGTGGGGACTCGGTGTAGGAAAGGGAGCCCTCAGTCATCAGTACGTGGGGGATTCAGTGGCACATTAGCGGCACATTAGCGAGGCCCTCAGTCAGTACGTGGGGATTCAGTGGTTCATCAGCGGAACCTCTCGGTAATCGGCTGACAGGAGAGCCGCAGGAGCTCTCGGCCGGCTCGTGTTAAGATGTCGGTGTCGACTGCTAGCAAAGGTTCGCTGTATGTGGCGTTTCGTGGAAGTTGCAAGAGAGCAGAGACAAGTGAAAATGAGCGATGAAGATGTATGAAGATAATGAGATCACCCTGCGAGATGGGATGAGGTCTTCAGTGGTAAGCAGCTGTACAGACTGCAGTCATTACTCACTACTATAATTTCACTTTGGACAAGAAGCAGTCACGCGAGCATCAGTGCACTAACTGCAGGGTACCTAATACGTCTAAATTGCATGATTGAAAACACCATGTGCTCCTGTCGGCATGAGCGATGACCGATGAGTTATGTTGCTGTGATAGATTGATGTCACTCCCAAAATGTTTGTTATTTATAGGAACCGCTGCGAAAATGCAGCTGGCTCAGTCAGTGCAACCATGAAACTACGATTAATATCCTGTGAAAAATTGATGGAACAGCTTATCATCTCCGCTATTCGAGAGCCGAGACAAGGCGATTGAGCGGATATGGTATCCGGAATCCCACGTATGATCCTCCATAAGAATGCAATCCAGACAAAATCCGGAAACGTGGGCGGTTCTCTCGAGGCGAGCGTCCGCTCCGGGCGGGTGGGTTTAACGCAACAGCCGTGATTTAGCCGCCATTTACGGATGATAGCGCAGCCAAGTTTCGCAGTTCTGCGCCATATCGGGTCATTCTGAGCCCCGATTCTTTTCCTCAATTGGTCACTCCCTGACGCATTGCGCACTGCACGTCCAAGGAAATTATGGTCAGAGTCTTGGGTTATATCGCTAAAACTATAGCCAGACCCGGGCTTATCTGATAGGAGACATCGGGAGAGAAATAAAAGGATTATAGATAAGTGCAATGACAGTGGGTATCTCCAGTGAACGTCAAACATGGTTGGTTCTTCCTACAGTTTTAGGAGATAAGGAATGACAGATCTTTACTAAGGACAAAAAAAATAAAAATATTGCGTACCGAGGACAACCAACTCACCCTCGTCGCACGTGCCGGTGCCAGACGGATACGAGCAGCCTCTTGCTGTGGTCCTCTGGCAGAAAGTCGAACGAGAACCGCTCGTCAAAGGAGGGCGCGTTGGTCTGTTTCACTAGCCGGGTGCGGCAGAAGGAGCGCTCACTCGAGTCGGGAACCAGCGACACCTGAAACGTGAACAGGCGGGTTAGTGGGTGATTGAAAAGCTTTCCTTTACTGGTATCTGTTTACAGCTCAACGTTCTTTGACTGATTTATATTGCTTCGAAACGACTATATTTACATTAGGTTAGTGTTCGGCATTCATAAGCAAGTTCAAGTGAAAATAAATGAATTATGCTGCACGTTGGTGCAAAAAATGGTGCTACGTAAATGGTGCATGGCAACTTTTGTCTTTAGTTGTGTGCCAATAGGTCAATGAATTCGAACATTCCTAAGTGACATTTATCGTAGATTGTGCGGGCATTGTGACCTTCAAGAACCCGTAAACGTGTGTGCTGAATTTTTCAAATCGTGACGATTGAATAAGCTCGCTCTGAGTGCACTGAATTCTCTCGGTAACACACGCGAGATGGTTTTGGCAAATTATTTACAGGCCGGATCACCCTGGAGAGGGGACCATTAGCCGGAAAGGTGACCGAGGCACTCGGAAATTGCAACTCGGTGAGAGTGATGCCGAGGTGTTCCCGGAGTGGGGCCCACGTTACTCAATGTCCACCTGGCCCGCGGGTTTATTGGGCAACAGTTGCTCATGGCGTCACCGACGCCCGGAAACAGTAAATGGTAGGATGGGCAGAGAAATATGGGGGGGATGAGAGATGGAGAGCTAGAAGAAAGAGAATGATAGAGAAGGAAACTAGAGAAAGATGGAAAGAAGAATGAGAAAGAAGGCTGGATAAGGAGTGAGAGGGAGAGATGGGGAGAGGGGAGGGACAGAGGGAGGGAGGGAGGCAGAGAGGGAGAGAGAGAGAGAGAGAGAGAGAGAGAGAGAGAGAGAGAGAGAGAGAGAGAGAGAGAGAGAGAGAGAGAGACCAAACGACCTCACGGGCCAGACTAAGCACCTCTCGAAATGCCATTTGACCTCGCCCGGCTCTTTTCTGACCGGTGAAGAACCTTTCTCGGAATCTGACCGCCGGGGAAAACACTGGACGTGGAGAAAGTAAAGCCGAATGCGCTGGGGCCCAGTTACACTCCCGGCACGAGGAGCACTTGACCACTTCACAGAGACATTGGAGCCGCGCTGCATTAGTCTCAGGGGTCGAATGGCGCCGTCTGGCCTCCGGCTGACCTCCAGTGCCCCGAGGCGAAATGGGCCTCGAGCAGCGTGGTGAACGAGTTCAGTGTAAATGATCGATGAGGCACGATAGTGACCTAGAGGGGGCTGTTGAATTGAACGAAGTACGGGAGGAACATAATGGTGAGGATGCCGGTCGCCGTTTGGCCGAAAGAGAGCCGACTGAACCGGACGGACAACCAAAGTCGCAAAGGGCATCTTCTGATGGGCGCCTTGCAAGTGCTTCAGAACACTGGACTCCTGACGGTAGACGAGCTAACTGCCGACGCATACCAGGCGCCCGTGCTCGCTTAGGGCGTGCGCAGCCCGAACTAGCTCGGGGCGTCTGGCGGGCGCCGAAATTTCTTTCAGGGCATCTGACGGGCAACGTACTCGTTTAGGGCGTCTCAAGGGCACGGTGGCCCATCGGCTCACCAAGGGCGCGTGACCGCAATAACGAGCAGGTCGCGTGCTGTCAACAGGGTCATACTGTGGAGGGCCGAGGAAGGGCTCCGGGGACCGCGTGCCGCGGCGTCCCGGCGGAATTCGCCAATATCGGCATACCCTGTTGGGCGGCGTATAGCTTATTACAGACAGACGGAAGGAATACGAACCATCGACAAGGAAAAACAGAGAAAGGCTGGTGCATTGGTGTCACTGGTAGAGCGAATCATGTCAGTCATGACCTCATCGACCTGTTGATTAGGTATACATTGACATGGCAACAGAACAGAAGACATGAGCCTTCACAATTATATGTACCGCATTGCATACACTGCAGAATAAGCCGACCTACGCTGAGCCCCGCTGGTGTCTGGTTTCAATTTTTATTAGAATAAAATATGGTCCCATCACTTACGCACGACTTCACTTCGTTTTGATTGATGCTCGTCATGTCTGAAATGCATATCACGGTATTCATTGCAATCAACCAAAGTGAATAACCGGTCTTTTTGAGCAGGTGCAATCAACTCGAGGAATGAAATCTGACCAGTCACTAGTCCAAGACTAAATCAAGAACGTAACGGGGCAATACAGGCAGATTTCGGTCACACAGGAATAGTGTAGTTACTGGTGCCAGATGGATCACATTGAATGTATAATGTGATGCAGGCCTTTATCAATGGCCACGCTATTTTCTCCTAAAGCACTAAATTTCCGCGTTAACCCTCCGGACGAAACTATGAATAAATAAAAGTGCGGAGCAACCTCGCGAGAATAATTGCTTTTGTTTTGAACAGCTTACCATAATTGCGTCATAAGTGGCCGGCGCTCCAAATGAAACCTGAAACGCGAACTGGGTAGCCGCTCCTGATTATGGAACTTCAGTTTCTGTTAACGGGTCTCCAACCTGACTCAGCCAATCTCCTCCTGTTTATATCGCCTCAGTGCTAGCATTGCCGGTTAATCTTGTTCGTATTAATAACACTACACGGTGGCAGGATAACAGTAACAATTAGAGTAGAAATGTGACGGGTTGAATTACACAGCATTTCAGTTCATCGTCTCTGATTAATTACCGACTCATGTCCGGTCTGTCAGCGAAAAGACCCGTTAATGCGGTTGGACACTCGAGTTGTCTTAAAGTTAATTAGGACAGTCATGAAATAATTATTCAATACAAATGCAACCGGTGTGTATAGAAAAAGAAAGTTTCGGTTAATTTGTATCAAAAGTAGCTTGATGCCAAAATAAATCCTCACAAACAATGCCGTGGGAAAGCCAAGATGTATAGCAAAGAGCTTACATATCGCACCGCCTAAAATAACATTTGGGTCAATGCATTGTGTGGGCAAATAAAAGCCAATTTGTCCTATATATCTATTTATAACCACTATATTGTGATAAAGAAATTGAAATAGTTGCAAAACACTGCAAGCAACTGAACGCTAAAAAATAAACTAATGAATATGGATGAGCACGTACCAAGATGCCAGACAACATGGGACGGTGAAGCAGTGCTGAATTCATTGGAGACGATACTGGAAGCAGGTATCAGAAACAAGAATCTTACAACTTTTAATTTCACTTTTACCATGGAATGATCAATAATACTACCAGTTCTGCAGTCATCAGGCAGGTGATTTGTAGGTACCGGATGTCGCCTAATTCACGGACAGCGCACGCAGCTTATACTTATTGATTGGTGCCTTGATGGCGTATTGAGCGGGCAATATCGCGTACAGCTAATTGATATTTAGCTCCAGCGGCCCGTTATCGGACCACAGCAGATATACCGTGATAGGCCACCCATGTCATGCTAAGCAAGATGCATTACGTAAGTACAGTACGCTCTTAGGTGTGTACTGAGGAACAATTTGTCTTAGCGTTCGATCTCGAACATTATATTCGTTGTACCAGTAGCTTGATAGCAAGAGTGCATTCCTTATTGACCCTGCTAGACAAAAGTTATATGGGTGTGTTTTCATTTCTTCATTCATTTACATTATGTCACAATTAATTAATATCCTGTATCTGTGTTGGCCGCCTGCTGCACCGTTTCAATACAAGTCCGTCTGGCATCGATACAGATGCCATTGACGTTTTACTTTACGCGTGTTTTGACGAGAAGAGGTTATGTCACGTATGAGGTCGACCGTAAGTTTGTTGCCACTATACCTTGACGTAGACGTTGCAGAGCTCTGCCGAGCGTGAGCGCAGTTTCCGTGCGCGCATGACGTGCACGGTGAGCAGGCCGCAGTTCTCGTAGATCCGCAGCTTCAGGTGACCTGTCGAGCAGCAGCACGAGATCAGCAGGACGGCCGTGGTGATATGCAATATTTATGTGATTTGGGATCCAAATGCTACACATTTCATACCGAAAACTTGTCCTACAGCCATGCTGCGCTGCTGAGTGCTGACCATTTTCAAATTATTAAATGCTACGATTCGACCGTTAATTAAAGACAGCTGATCCACCGAGGTTGAAAAGAAGCTTGTAACATTCCATTATTCCGTCGAATCTGACAGCACGTATCACCATAGACCCGGGAACAGCGGGGGCAGCGGGGGCGCTTGCCCCCCCAACTTGGGAGCCGAGGGGGCGGCGCCCCCTCAACATTGAGGCAGCGAGAAAAGATTTTTCCTCCCTTTTCCGGACTTCTTTCCTTCTTGTTTCCTTTATACATCTACACATCAACACACGGCATTTCCCTTGCCATCTGAATTGTTTCTGCTTATACATTATATCGATTTGACAACATCTGCTATTGTCATCCCGCTTTGATTTGGGCCTGACCTTGGCCATAAGTTTGGCAGGCCAGATTTTATACTGCACCAGCTTGAGTCAACTTTGAGAAATACAAAACGTACAACGGTGGTAAAATCGTTGCTAATAGGTATAAGTGATATAACACAGTTTACCCGCTCCGGGTGTGATGGAGGGGTGTGGGGCAATGAGTGCACTGACGTGGCGTCCTCGGAGGGCCGGTATGGGATTAAAGCTCAGCGACACTAATAACTTGTGTGGTGTCTTCGGTTATCGGTAGCACCCTCAGAATCACCGGCGTAGGGCCCTCAGAGCCGCCGGTAAGGGGCCTTTAGACGCACCGGTGTGGGGCCGCCATGCAGGTGCCGGTGTGGGCGCTCAGAGGTGCTAGTGTGATTCTCTCAGAGGCGCCGATGAGTGTCCTTACAGGCGTTGCTGTGGGCCCTCATAGCCCGCTGGTGTGGAGCCGTTACAGACGGGTGTGGGGCCTTTAGAGCGCTGCTGAAGCGAACTCTCTTCAAGCCGGCAGGGGGTCTCAGTGACCGGCAAGGGGTCCTTAGGCCGGCAGAAGAAGTCCTGTGGGGTCCTTAGAGACCGGCATGGTACTGTCAGACGCCGGTGGGGCCCTCACTAGTCACCGGTGTGGGGCCCTCAAAAGTCACCAGTGGGTGGCCTTTAGATGAACAGGTGTTGGTTGGGTCCTCAGAGCCGCCAATATACATAGATAGGGCTTTAATAGGCACTGGTGTAGGCACTCAGAATTGGGTGTGTGAAACCCTCAGAGACACCGGTGTGGGCCCTCATAGGCGCCGACGAGGGCCCCACAGTTGCCGTTATGGGGCCCTCAGAAAAATAAGTGTGGGACCATCACAGGCGGGAAATGCCCCTAGAACTGGCCCCTCATAGGCCGGGAAGACCTCTCAGAGGCCAGTAACGGGCCTTTGGAGACCACCAAGGTGCCCTTAAAAGCCGCAAGAGGCCCTCTGAGAAGCCGGCGTGGCGCCCTTATGGAGATCTTAATATGGCTATTTAGGGCCATTGAGCTGCTCTAACGAGCCCCATGGGGCCCTTCTGAGTAGAAATATGGCCAGCGGTCAAATGGCGCCGCAGGGCCCCTCGGACCCGAGGGTCCCTTTTATCCCGATGGGGGGGGGGGGGGTACGTGTCCCCTTAGACCCCTAGCTATGCCACTGTTTCATATGCATCATGTCAGGCATTTTAGGCTCGCCCCCCCAACTTGAAAATCGTTCCCGGGCCCCTGCGTATCACCCACAACGCATCGACACAAATCACAAAGTTCGTCGCCCTTGGTTCCACGCGTCTACCTGTAATGTTCAAAATCCTCTCGGCCGTTTTCTGTCAAAGGCCCGGGACCGGGCCGGTCCCCGCTAACGGTGCAGTCAAATTACCTCGCCGGCCGGCCGCCGAATTGTGTTCCCCGCTCCACACCCGCCATTATCCGCTCCACACGTCAATTAGTTCAGTGGGGACGACTGATCCCGGCGTACGACGACTCCAGTGGGTCTCCGCCGGGTCCCAGCGCCGTCCCGGTGCGGTCGGCACGTCCTGCGGCCGCGGGAACTATAAGCTCCTGCCGGGGATCGAACGCACGTCCCTCGCGTCTGACTCCGCCGCCGGCCTACTGAGTCACCAATGAGTCATGCGACGGACACCGACGAGCTGTTACACGTGTCACCTTCAAAGGCACGGTTCGTGTCGCTTCCCATGCCGCCCATCACTTCCTCGGTATGTACAGTCGTGTACAGGTTGATGGTCCCCTACTCTTTATCCACCGGGTTCCTATGGCTCAGCATTGGCAGCAGCCGCCTGGTACCGGTAGGCTGTGCCGCATGACCCGAGAGTGAAGCGGCACAGTCTACCCACGCCGTTTGACATCGGCTCGGGTCGCCGGGTGGAGCGCTTTGTAGACCAGCTGTCGCGTCAGACCAGCGCGGGGGGAGGGGCTCGTCTCGGTGGTTGGCGTGGGCTGGCGAGTGGTGTGGGGCGTGTTGGTGGACCATGGGGGCTGGGCGGGTGTGTGTGGTCACTTGCTGCATTGCACATTTTGCGTCGCTTAACAATTGCATTCCTGTTTTTGCTAAGCAAAATGCACGGAAGACCCAGCGAATATAATTTACTTGTGCATTGTGCAAAACGTGATTTGGCACGGTATCGAGGCAACCATAGGTCTTGTGCCACATATATGCATGATATTTAGGCAATACGCTTATGAAAATAGTAGATTGATCGGATTGATCCTGGATGTCAATTCGTATGTTAAATGTCGACATGTATTAAATGAACGAATGAATGAATCAATCAATCAATCGACAATCGACATGTAGATATAAAACCGTATAAATGGCTCGCAACCACTAAAATCAAACCAGATCCTAACTCGGAAAAGTAGCCGGAGCCCCGATGAGGCTCGAACCGGGACTCCACGTTGAAAGTTTTGCCAATGATCCATCATCATTCCACCAAGCTAGAGCGACCGGCACCCGGAACCACAAAAACATTCATTGACTTTGCTGCCGACCTCCCGGCCCCGCCGCCCGCCCGGCCAGACTTTGCCCCAGCCGTGGCCACCATCCGGTGTAGCTCAGCGTAGGAGTGCTAGACTGTCAAACTGACCGGTAGTGAGAGGCCCGGTTCGAGACGCTTCGCGTGCTGGATGTTTATTTCTGTGTCCGAGGCTATGCGATTAGTCCACTTTTCAGAAAGATTATTTGGTGACAGGTCTGTTTTCTTTCTTTGCTGCAATTCATGAGGAGGCCATATGGACCCTTACCTGTCCTTCCGCACTCCACTTGGGAGATGGGTGTTTGAACCCCCCTGGGTTTTGTGAATATCTCTAAAGCGAATTTTTGGACTAGGGTGGTTTACGATCGGTTCTATGCGACAAGTGACCACACACACCCAGCCCCAGGTCCGCTCACTCACTCCCCACATCACCCCCGCCCCACACCACACTCCAGCCCGCCTCATCCACCGAGCCGAGCCAAATAGACAGGCCTGACCCTTACCCCCCCCCCCCTCCCCCCAGCCGGTGTAACGCAGCGTCCGGTCAAATCGCTCTACCAGGCGACCCGAGCCGGTGTCATACAGTGTGGGTAGGCTGTGCCGCTTCACTCTCGGGTCATGCGGCACAGCCTACCGGTACCAGGCGGCTGCTGCCAATGCTGAGCCATAGGAACCCGGTGGATAAAGAGTGGCGGACCATCAACCTGTACACGACTGTACCAAGTCACCGTCTATATGATGTTCCAACTTCCAAGCAATCTATAGCCGATTCGAATGCAAAGCCATCATTAAAATTTTCTCCAGTCTTCATTCAAGAAACCTTCGAGATCATAAGCAGCGTAGCTCAAGCTCATCTAACTACTGGGTAGCCTCTCTGGTGATAACTTGAATCACATTCGAGCTCTCACGCTAACTCCAAGTTAATTCCTATTCACTTTCCAGTTTCCAATTCATTTTCTAATTCACCTAGCAATCCAATTCAGCTCCCGGTGATCCCCAATTTAACTCTCAAATCGCCTCCTAATCTATCCTTAGTCACCCTCCATGACAGCTCCCATAGTCACCTACCGAGTCACGTCCCGAGTCACCTACCGAGTCACCTCCCGAGTCACCTCTCGTGACTCCGGCGCGACCCGAGTCGGGACGCCCGTCCGGTGGCGTCGGATTCCTGCCCAATAGATTGGGTTCGCCGGCGTTTGATCGAAATTACACGGCCGCGGGTGTAATCAATTCATCCGATGGCCGGCCGGGTGGCCGCTGGCGGCAGCGGAAGTGAACGGTGTCGTCGCGAGAGGAGGAGCCGAGGACGGCCAGGGCAGGGCTGGGCTGGAGCTGCGTGACGACAGGCCGCTTCAGGAGCAGGATGGTGATTGGTGATATTACTTGAAAACTTTCTCAAGTCGCTTAAAAGTGCAGGCTGAATAGCGTCAAGCATCTTTTATTTGCTTTGTATTTAAACACGCAATCTGGATAATACGTTTATAATATACTTTACCATAGGAAATTTAATGCTGCACTATAAGAACCTCGGGAGGTAACCGAAGGTGGCCTACTCAGACCCGCGGTATCCTGGCTCGATCAAACAGTGAAATTGGTGGAGGAAGTGACGTATCTCCTGTGGGTCGCCCGCCAGTTGGTTTGGGAAGTCTATAACGCTATCTCTGACGCCCAGGGAGTGTTTGCAGATGTGGGCCCTCCACGAGAAGTTACTCGAACTGCTGAAACCAAAACTCACACCCTCCTAATTCTGGACCACGGGGGCAGTAATCGCCACGCCATGTGTGGATCGCCCACGATCCGATCGTAAATACATACATGATACATGCATACATACATACATACATATAAGCGTTACATTGAAGCGTGGGAAGTGAACGAAACTGAATCCAAATAATGGCTGAACTTTGCAGAAAAGAGAATGCTTGGGGCTAAATTTAGGCACCGAAAGACCGGTGTGTATCACGCTTAGCGTATAATGTATATTTGTGAAAATGTAAA